CTCCCCTGGGCTGGCGTGGGAGAGGAGGAAATCAGAGCTCTGATGTTCCTCTTTCATTCCACCAAAAGCTGAAATGTCCCGAGGGAGCAGCGAGGTGGGCACTGAGGGATCCCCCACACGCACACATGGCACAGGGTGGGCACTGCTGGCACCAGGAGCAGTGGGATCACCCCATTGCCAGGCAGTGTGGTTCAGCAGACAGCTGGTTTTGGGGGAATGAGGGCTTTGCCTCCCCCACCACCCCAAACCCAGGGTGTGTTGGGGTCCCTGTGCCCCCCAGCACTGTCACACCTCTCTTTACCCCACCTTGAGGTCTGAGCCTGTCTGTCCTTGCCTCTTCCACCCCTTCCCTGCAAGGATGATGGAGCCCTGTCCCCCACCTTGGGACACCTCCCTGTGTCCCCTCAGCACCCCAATGGCACCGTGGTGATGTCTGGCCCTTGTTGCTTCCTCCTTGCTGCTTCCTCTGGCTGCTTCTCCTTTTTAGCCACCCCTGAGGGTGGCAAAACTTCCCCTGCCAGTGCTCATTGTCCCCCTCTGGATATTCAGGCCAGGGGCTTGGAGAAACCATGGCAGGAGTTGGGACTGGATGGGCTTCAAGGGCCCTCCCAGCCCAAACTTGTCCATAATTCCAGGATTTCCTTTCCTAGCTGGTGGCTGGATAATTTTTCCTGCCAATTCTTGGTGTCAGTGATGGGGGAATTGCCTCAAAAGTGCCCATTCCTGTGGTCACACCTCAGCTTTGCACATCCCTGGTTAAAATTCCCTCATTCAGTTTGCTCTGAGGGGGGCTGGAGGGCTCAGGAGGTTCCTGCTCAGGTGGGATGGGGCTGAGCTGCTTAGAGAGGGTTTTGGGCTGCAGAATCATGGAAAAGAGGCTTTTTTTAAGAAGAAAAAATGAGTTTTTGTGTCTGTGGATGTGGTGGGGCAGCAGCTGTGGCAGTGCCAGGGGTCACCCCTAGATCCAAACGTTGTGAACTGGGATGCCAGGGAGGGTGTGTGGCATGGTGACAGCGTGGTGACAGCACAGTGACCCTGGCCACTGCAGGCTCTACGAGGGGAAGGAGGTGGCCGAGTTCCAGCGCTCCCTGCAGAGGTTCTTCCTCGCCCTGAACCAGCTGATGGCGTCCCCGCTGGAGGGTCCCACGCTGCTGTCCCAGGTAGGGATGGGGCAGCACTGGGAGGGCTCAGCTGTGCTGTGAGGTGGCAGGGAGGGTGCCCAGGCCAGGCACTGGCTGTCCCCAAGCTGGGGTGACACTGTGCTGCTGTGTCTGTGCTCGTTTTTGGGGTGACGCTGTCCATCCTGTGTGCAGAGCTCGGGAGGAGCTGCCACCCCGTGCGCTGCCTCGCTGTCCCCAGGTCCCCCCCCCTGTCCCCAGGGTCCCCCCTCATGCACCCTGAGACCCCCAGCCCCTGTCCCCAGAGTCCCCTGTCCCCAGGGTCCCTCTCCCTCCTCGTGCACCCTGAGACCCCCAGCCCCTTTCCCCAGGGTCCCCTCCCTGTCCCCCCTTGTGCACCCTGAGACCCCCAGAGTCCCCTGTCCCCAGGGTCCCCCCCCTGTCCCCAGGGTCCCCCTTGTGCACACTGAGACCCCCAGCCCCTGTCCCCAGGGTCCCTCCTCCTGCACTCTGAGACCCCCAGCCCTTGTCCCCAGAGTCCCTTGTCCCCAGGGTCTCCCCTTGTGCACCCTGAGGCCCCCAGCCCCTGTCCCCAGGGTCCCCCCTGGTGCACCCTGAGACCCCAAACCCTGTCCCCAGGGCTCTGGGGGCCCTGTTTGAAGGCAGCCCTGCTGTGTCTCTGCAGGGAGCAGCTCTGAAGTATCTGCCCTCCATCCTCGACGACGTGTTTGGGATCTTTGACTCCTCCATGCTGGGGTAGGGTCCCTGTGTCCCCACCCTGTGTCCTGCCCAGCAGCTGCCACTGCCACCTCTGTCCCTGTGGCAAAGTTCTGCTCAGTTTTAGCAGCTGCCGGTGCTTGGGCAGGGCTGAGCCTGAGAACTCGGCCCCAGCTGGGTTCCTTTTGGGGAACTGCCCCATCGAGGGGGTCCCCCCACCCGTCATCCCCATCCTGAGCAGGACCTGGAGCTCCTGCTGTCACTGCTGTCCTATGGCAGGGCCATCCTGCGGGATTTTGTGGGGAAGCTGCTGCCCCAGCGCCTTCTGAAGCAGAAGCTGCAGTCCCTGAGCGACATTTCCAGCAGCAGAGCCTTCCAGTCCCACGGTGAGAGGTGTCCTGCTGGCACTGCCCTTGCTGAGCTCCCCCAGAGGCCATGGCACAGGCTGGGACCCCTCCTCTGCCTCGTGCTTGGGGTGGCACCACAATTGGGGACAATTCCCTCATGCCCGTGCCCCCCTGTGCCCCCCAGAGTGCCGGGAGCTGGTGCTGCAGGCGGCCCTGCCCATCCTGCAGGAGCTGATCCAGGCAGGGGAGGAGGAGGACGCCTGCATCCAGCTGCTCAGCAGCATCCTGGAAGTGCTGTACCAGGCCCAGAAGGTAAATCAGGAATCTGTGACCCAGCCAAACCCCTCTCAGTGGGGTTCAGCTCCAGTTCCTGGTCAGGATATTGTGTTGGAGTTCAGCCTGGGGGTGTCACCGTCCCAGCAGGGTGGGACACAAACCTGGTGCTTTCCACCTCAGCGAGTTTCTGCTGGGTTGTCTGACATCCACACGAGTGGGGAAGGGATGACACTGACCTGAGGGTGGTGGGGACATCACCAGCTCTGCAGGGCTGGGAAGGAGGGAGGAAGAAAGTGAGGGGAGGGAAGAAGGTGAGGGCACATCCATAATGGATGGTGGAAGATCTGGAGAGATGTTTTGTGGTATTGGCCAATTGTCTACTGGCAAACCGACCAAGCGGGTTGAGAATGGCTTTTCTGGATTTGAATAAGTCAAACAAATGTTATCCAAGCCCGATGCATTGGCCAAGGTCACTCAAACATTGGTTTTTGGTTTGACTTACGGGCTGGATCACGTTATTTAAGGCAAACAATGAAGTAATAAGGCACAAGTATGATATCTGATTTAGTTTAATATTTTTCTTTGGTTTCCTTTAGATTCAAGGCACTTTTTCTTTTTTCTCTTTTCCCAATTCTATTTTGGGACAGGCCAAACGTAATTAAAATTTCAATGGCCTTATACCTGATATGAAATCCTGCTGGTCAGTGATTACCGGTCAGCCCCTGGGCAGTATCACACTCCAAAAGGAAGAGTGATGGCTCCAAACACGAGGCAGGGACATGGTGGGCACCCACCCACCCAAATGTGGTCCATCTGGGATGGGCTGGGGCCATTCCTGGGGGTCTCATCTCTGTTTCTGGTGATTGCAGAGCGCAGAGGGGCTGCGAGCGCGGCACAAGGACCGTGGGGACGTGGAGCTGGTGAGTGTCCCTGCAGCAGCATGACACTTTGGGAATGCTCAGGGCTCTGTGCTCTGCCTTTTCAGGAGCTTTCCTCTCTCTTCCTGCCCTCCCTGGATGCTCAGGGGTCCCTCCTGGGGGCTTGGGAGGTTCAGGTGTCCCCCCTGCAGTGCAGTGACTGGCGCTGTGGCAGCTGAGCTGGACACTGTGTGCTGGGAGGGTGAGGTGGTTCTTTAACCCCCACAGCACCAGGAAGCCCAGGAATGGGCTGGAAAGCTCAGAAATTGTGGAGAAATGTCTCATGAGCTTTTAAACCTGAAGTAGCCTTTATGGAGAGCGTGGTGGGACGCTCTGGGGCGAGGATTCTGCTCTTGCTTCAACTCCATGAGAGCTGAACCCACCTTTACCTGCCCAGCGCCATCCCCATCATCCTCAGCCATCCTTGGCTGTCCCCATTGTCCCCAGCCGGGTGGCCACCGTGCCAGGGAGGCACACAGAGATCCCAAATCCCATATTTATGCAGGAGCACATTGCCCTGCTCTGACTCCAGCTCCATTCCTGTGTCACCACCCCAGTGCCACCCAGAAGGAGGACACATCCCACAGCTGGGACATGCCCTGCCATGGCCCTGCCACCTCTTCCCTTGCAGGCACAGGTGAAGAAGCACATCCAGATGGTCCTGGAGCAGCTGCTCCACACAGTCAACCGCAGGGTGATCGTGCTGGAGCGGGAGAACCCGCTGAGGGTGAGTCCCGCTGCGCCGCTCTCCTTCGGGTCACACGGGGGAGATGTCACTGATTTTGGGGGGCTGGGTGTGTGTGAATGGCTCTGCTCCTCGCTGGTCCTGCTGCCAGGACCCAGCAGGGTGGGGATGGATGCCGGGGATGTGCCCGGGGGGATGCAGGTGGAAGTGGAACCGTGCTGGGTTCCTGCTGGAGTAGGGGTGAGTAGGTTTGGGGGTGCAGAGGTGTAGAAAAAGCTGCCTGGGGAGCAGAGAAGGGTTTGGGCCACGTTATCTGGAGAACAAGCTGCCAAACCCAGCGAGCCGCCGCGGTTTTACACGCCAAAAACACGCTGGGCACACGCCAAGGGAGGGGGACAGAGCCGGGGCCACCGGGGGTTCGGGCTCTTCTTTGGGGACATGGTGACAAACCCAGGGGCAGCAGTGTGGTTTAGGGTGGGTGGTGAGCCGTGTTGGTGTGTGTGGTGGGAGCTGGGAGCAGGGAATTGCCGTGCCGTACCGTGCCCTAACGTGCTGTACCGTGCCGTACCGTACCGTGCCGTACCGTCCATCATCCATCATCCATCCATCATCCATCCATCCATCATCCATCATCCATCCATCATCCATCCATCCATCCATCCATCCATCCATCCATCCATCCATCATCCATCCATCATCCATCCATCCATCCATCATCCATCCGTCATCCATCCATCATCCATCCATCCATCCATCCATCCATCCATCCATCCATCCATCCATCCATCCATCATCCATCCATCCATCATCCATCCATCCATCCATCATCCATCCATCCATCCATCATCCATCCATCATCCAGGGAAATCCAGGGAAACAACCTCTTCCCCCTCCTCATTCTCACCCTCCTGGCGAACAGAAGCTCTCAGGCGGGAGAGGATTAACAAAAATAGCGTCTCCTGGGAATTTATTGAATTCTCCTTCACTCCAGCGCTGCTCCCTCGCCCTTCCCACCCCCGATCTCCCCGGCCTTCAGCGGAATGGTTGAAAATAGAAACGCTGGTGCTGCCCAAACCCCACCGTGGAGGGAGGGGAGGTGGGCAGGGGGGCAGCGCTGGCACGGTGCCCCCCGGGCTCACAGGAACCAGAAGCATTTGCGGCGGGATTTCTTCACGTCCAGCTTTGCCGGCAGCCTCGGCACGGGTGAGGGTTCCTGCTGGGGGGGTGAGGGGGTCCCCGCCGCCCCCAGAGCCGCCCCCAGAGCCGCTGGGGGGGAGCTCGGCCCCGTGTCACCCTCGATGTGGCTCAGCACCCGCTGGAAGCGACCCTCCTGCTGTCGGAAATCGTGCTCCACGCTGCAGCAGCGGGACCGAGGGGACCGTGTCAGGGGGCAGCGTGGCATCCCCTTGTCACAGCCCCCCCAACTGCCACAGCACCCCGCTTGTCACAGCCCCCCATCTGCCACGGCCTCTGGTACCCCAAACACCGTCCCTGGTACCCCAAACACCGCCCCTGGTACCCCAAACACAGCCCCTGGCACCCCAAACACCACCCCTGGTACCCCAAACACCACCCCTGGTACCCCAAACACCGCCCCTGGTACCCCAAATACAGCCCCTGGTACCCCAAACACCTCCCCCGAGGAGCTCAGTGTCCCCAAACAGCCCCCGGGGAGCTCAGTGTCCCCAACAGAGCCCCCGGGGAGCTCAGTGTCCCCAACAGAGCACACAGGGAGCTCAGTGTCCCCAAACAGCCCCCGGGGAGCTCAGTGTCCCCAACAGAGCACACAGGGAGCTCAGTGTCCCCAAAACAGCCCCCAGGGAGCTCAGTGTCCCCAACAGAGCACACAGGGAGCTCAGTGTCCCCAAACAGCCCCCGAGGAGCTCAGTGTCCCCAAAACAGCCCCAGGGGAGCTCAGTGTCCCCAAACAGCCCCTGAGGAGCTCAGTGTCCCCAACAGAGCACACAGGGAGCTCAGTGTCCCCAACAGAGCACACAGGGAGCTCAGTGTCCCCAAACAGCCCCCGGGGAGCTCAGTGTCCCCAAAACAGCCGCCGGGGAGCTCAGTGTCCCCAAAACAGCCCCCGGTGTCCCCGCACCCCTCAGTGTCCCCGCAGCACCCCGAGGTGCGGGCTGGCTGCTGGCAGCCACGTGCTGCGATGTCCCCTCCCAGGGAAATCGCCTCAATCTCCTCACAGCAGCCACGTCCCATCTCATCAGCGCGGTGCCACCCGGTGTGCCCGGGAACGTGCACATGGCACAGCCACCCTGCACACGGGGAGCCCCCCGGCTGCTGGCACCTCCTGTCACCTCCTGTCACCTCCCCTGGCGAGGACAAGAGTGTCCCAGCCATTTCTAGAGAAAAGGGTGAGGGGTGCAGCACAGGGAGAGGCCTCAACTCCCCTGCAGTGACACAAGGAAGGGTTGGCACCGCCGTGGGATGGGACAGACAGGTCTGGTCCCCTCCATGGGCCATCCCTGGGGTCTGCTGCTGGGGGTGCTGCCCCTTGTCCCTCACCTGTGTCCCCCCAGAGCCTCTCCTCATCCCACGGGTGGTGGCAAAAGCCACATTGAGTCCCCAGCGGGAGCCTGGCTGTCCAGGGAGCCACCTCCCCCAGATGTGACATCCGTGCTGCTGTCACACTGCTGCAGACAGGCTCGTCAGGCCTAATTAGACTAAAATCCCCCAAGGAGTGGGGAGCAAGTGGGTGTGAGGAGCAGGAGCGCTGAGGCAGCACTGCCACTGAGCGCAGGGACACCAGGGGACCCCCCAGCCGGGCACCCCTAGCCTGAGGTGCCCCAAGGAGGGGGCACAGTGCTCACAGAGGGTGGCAGGGCAGTGGCACACGTGCACCGTGGGGATCAGGCACTACAGAGCTACACCATGTCCTACTAACAGCAAAAGGGGGACACAGCTGGCCACCCACCTGCACTGCAGAGGGACAGCCAGAGGGACAGAAGGACACCCAGGGGTGCCTGGAAGGGCAGCAAGCTTTAGCAAAGCTGCAATCCTCCCAGTTCCCCTTAAGATGATGCTGGGAGGGCATGAGATGCCTTTTCCTACACACCAAATGGGGTCTGAGGAGAAGGCAGCAGAGGAAGGGGCTTCCAGAGCCCAGGCCTGTGTTCCCAAAGCTCAGCGAGGGGCAGGAACCCATCTGCAGCCTCTGTGCAGAGCTGCATGGGGACAGCAGGATGCAGCCTGGATTTGGAGCAGAGAGGCTTCCCTGATAGATTGTTGGTGCAGGAGATAAATGCTCTGCCACCCTGGGCATCCCCCTTCCAGATGCTGCTCCTCCATGGAGATCACCCTGCTGATCCTCATCTGCGAGGGCTGAGTGACAGCCCACACACCCAAAAGCGCTCTGTGTGTGGTGTCCCCAACACGGGGACAACCTTGTCACCCTCCCTCCTGCCTCACAGCCAGCTCCAAGTCTGGGGGTGCAGGGGGGCAGAACCCCTGGGATGCTCGGAGCCAGGGCTGGCCCTCACCTGTAGATGATGCAGGCACAGTCCCGGCACGTCCCGCAGTTGGCGATGTCCTGCCCGGTCCGGTACGAGTGTCGCCTGGGACAGAGATGTGACATGAGCTTGGACACCTGCTCTGGGTCTGTCTGTGTCCCCTGCTGCCACCCCAGCAGCCAGGAGCAGGACTGTCCTCCCTGGAGCCCAGCTTCTCTTCCTCTCTGGGACCCACCTCCTCTCCTCCCTGGATCCCACCCCCTTTCCTCACTGGGATCCATCTCCTCTCCTCCCTACATCCCAGCTCCTTTTCTCTTTGGGATTCAGACCCTCTTGTCCCTGTATCTCCTGAATCCCAGCTTCTCTTCCTCCCTGAGATCCATCTCCTCCCTGGATCCCGTCCCCTTTCCTCTCTGGGATCCATCTCTTTTCCTCCCTGGATCCCAGCTCCTCTTCCTCTCTGAGATCCATCTCCTCTCCTCCCTGGATCCCAGCTCCTTTCCTCTCTGGGATCCATCTCCTCCCTGGATCCCCCCCCCCTTTCCTCTCTGGGATCCAGCCCCTCTCCCCCCCTGTGACCCCAATTAATACCAAGCCAGGTGCTTCTCTGATGGGATCCCACCAGTGCAGGGCACAGTGGCATTTCCAAACCCTTCCTGCTGTGCCCTGCCCTCCCCTCCCCATCCCAAACCTCATCCCAAGGGTCCCCACACCTGCAGCCCCCAGGTCACCACACGTGGTGCCAGGGAGGGAGCACAGGTCACACGGTGCTGCCCTGGCAGATGGGCACAGGAAGATGTTCCAGGCTAATGCTCCTTCTGCTCTGTCCAAAATGAACCCTGTGAATGCTGTTGGTCCCTTTGGGACCCCTTTTCTCCATGTCTCCATTGCCCCTTCAGGGCTGTGGGTTTTGGGGGCACAGCTGAAAGAACATGTCCCACATACACCTCACATTTCCCCGTTGAAATCTTCCTCCCGTTACTCGACCTTGACCACGGTTGTTCTCAGCCCTCAGAAACTGGGTCTGTTAATGCACCAAATTACACATTGCAATGGGGATTTATTCTGCCAGCACCTGAATTAGATCATGAGGTCCTTTATACAGACATATATATATATATATATATATATATGTGGTAGGTAAATGTGTATGTGCCTGTGGCGTTGTACAACAACCCCCCTCTGCTGGGAGAGCTCATCCTGGGATAGTATTTCACATTTTACATATAAAAATTCTCGTGGGATGTTGCTGGTGGTCAGTGCCAGGATGTCTCAGGGCTGGTGGCCCTGCTCTGGTGTGCAGTGGGCACAGGGGATGTGACCTGTGGCAAACGAGGCTCTGCTGTTCTGCAGGATAAGGACACCAGGAGAATGTTTTATGTGATTTTCTATCCCTGGATTTCCTCTGGGCATCTTTTGTTGCTTATTTGTAATAGTAAACAGAGTTAAGGTCTTAATTAAGCACTGCCAGTGCTCCAGGGGTGGCACAGGGGCAACAGCCAAAGGCATCTGATTTAACAGCTGAATCCTAGCAATCTCAGGCATCAGGAACAAGCCCCAGGGATGGTACAGGAGATGCCAGGCCCAGCACTTCTGGGGGGTTTGTTGGTTGCCCTCGTGTGAGATGAGTTTGGAGCATTTCAGATTAAGGCCATCATGGGCTGGCCTAGAAGACCTTCCTCAATTTGGCAGATCTGCCTGGAGGGCCAAGGAATGCTGGCCTGGGGATAATTCCCTGCCCCTTGGAGCAGCTCCTGGGCAGCAGGGCAGGATGGGGGTGCTGGGCACCTCCCCGGGGTGCAGCCAAACCCATCAAGAGGGCACAGCCACTGGATTTGTGCCAAAGGTGCCTCCGTGGATGGGGCAGGGATGTGGTACCTGGCTAAACCATTGGGATGTGACATTCTAGATCCCTGCTCCCAGTGCCCAGTGGAGAAATCAGCTGCAGCACCCCCTCACACCCCACACCTGCACCCCTGGGCACCGTGGGCACACAAGACCTTGGCACCAACACGAGGAGCCACACTCAGGCGGACAGCAGCTCCGAGTTTCTCAGAGGGGAACACCCCAAGGAGGCAGCAGCACCCAAATTTCTGTCAGGGTCTCTCATCCTCCATCCCCAACCCTCACAGACATTGTCCCCACAGCCCCTCGCTCTGTCCCCTCCTACTCACCCATCCCGCTGCGCCTCCTTCTTCTCCAGGTCCTGGATGACATCCAGCAGCACCCGGATGGTTTGCTGGCTGGTCTCCAGCACCCCTTCCAGGGACTGCAGCTGGGAATGCAGGTCCCCCTGCTCCCCGGGCCCTCGGGGGGGCTCTCCCTGAGATGTCCGGCCGTCCTCATCCCTCGCCGGTGCTCCCACCGGCCCCTTGGCCACCACCACCAGCTGCAGAAGGTCCTGGACGCGGTGTGGCGTGTCCGTCTCCTGGGTGGCTCTGTGGGGCTGTCCGTGCCGGGGGGTCTCTGCTGTCCCCACGCCGGTGTCCTGTGGGGCTGTGACCAGCGGCTCCGTGGGTCCTGCCCAGCCGTGCCAGCCCGGAGCTGGTGGGGCACAGCAGGGTCCCCCACGGAACGTGGCACAGAGCTGGTGCTGGAGTGGCGTGGGGTCCCGCGTGGGGTTGCCCTGAGCTGGCTGTCCCCTGAGGAGTCCCTGCGTGTCCTGGCCGTGGGGCAGGGTCCTCTCCGAGCCGCTCCGACCGAGCCCCTGCTGCTCACCGGGTGGCCGGGGCTGGCCGCAGGGCACGGAGGCGGGGCGGGGGGTGACACCGTGGTCACCCCGAGGGTTCCCACGGAGCTGGGCACGGAGCTGGGCACGGACCGGGGGTGGCGGGCAGGGCTCGGGGGTGCAGCTTGGCAGCGGAGGGGCGCAGCGGGCAGCGGGGCAGCCCCGGTAAGGGGGAGGGGGGTCCCTGGGTGGTGGCGGCGGAGGTGTGCGCCGCACCTTGGCGTGCTGGGCGAGCACCGCGGGGCCATCGCGGGTGGGGAGATCACCGGGAACCCGCGTGGGCAGCACGGCCGGTGGTAGTAGCGCATCCTCCGCCACATCGCAGACGCTCTTGCTGCGGGGCTGGGGGGCCGGGAAGGGTTTTTGGAGGCTGGGCGAGGTCTGGATGGCGGCGCTCATGCACATCTTCCTGGGCATGGGCAGCGTCAGCGAGCCCGGCTGCGCCTGGGGCCAGCTGCGCCGGGAGGCACGGAGAGCCGCCGGCTCAGGGGGGTCCCTGGGGGGCGGAGAGGCACGTAGGGTGTTGTGACCGGGGCCGGTCGCGGACTCGGGTGGGGTGCCGGCATCCACCAGGTCCTTGAAGCGGACCTGCTGCGTGCGGTTGCGGCGGCGCTTGAGGCGGCTCTCGATGTCGGGCGAGTCGCGGTTGAGCAGCACCGAGCGCACCGTCATGGCTTTCTCCTGGCTGCCCTCGCCCCCGGGGGCCGGACCGGGCACGGGCTCACGGCTGACCATGGTGCTGCGGCGGGGCGAGGGGGGCCGAGCACCGGCGGCCGGAGCCTTGGGCGGTTGGGGCGGCGGGCAGCCTCATCCCGAGCCGCCACGGACCGGGGATAGTTGGTGGGATGTGGGCGAGGGGTCTCCGGGCATGCTGCCCGCCGCCCGCCCCTACAGCCCCCGGCACGCCGCCCCGACAGCCGTGCCCGGTACCGCGGCTCCCCACCGGTGCCCGCGGCCCATCATCCCGCCGTGCCGCCCGTGGCTCCCGGACCTGCGGGGACAAAGAGAGGTGCGTCAGAACCGGCCACGCCACCGCGGCCCCCGAGGACACGAGTGTCCCCGTGGAAGTGCCGGCCTCTCCCAGCTCGGCTCCGGCATCAGCAAACGCGAAGAGACAGGCTTTGATGTGCGGCGCTGCCTCCTCAGCACAAAGGGAGAAGGGAAAAGAAAGCCCTTTAGCATAAACACGTTCCGAGTTCGCAGCTCAAATCAAGCAGAAGCGGTTGGTAAAAATAGCTCTGCCTCGCCGGGGTTGGTGCCTCCTCGTGTGCGGGGTGCGGGCAGGGCAGGGACAGGGCCAGGGGTTCCCGTAAGGGACAGACGGACGGATAGGGGACACCCCCGCACGTGGGACACCCACCCAGAACGGGACACGGAGGGGTGGGCATGGGATGTGTCCTGCCAAGGGCATGGCCAGGGTGACACAGGGGATGTGTCACGCGTGGTTGTGGCCAGACTGGGCACCAGAGGTGCTGGCTGGGGGACCAGCTGTGTGAGCAGTGGCGAGGCAGTGGCTTGGGGACACGGAGTCACTTCAGACACGCGGGAGCGAGCAGGAGGGAGAAGCTTCAGTGAGGCTGGACCCGCTCACAGCGGGGATTGCACCCGGCTAGATCCCCATTCCTGCCATCGTCCTGCTCCCTGCCATCGTTCCCGCGTGGCTCTGCAGGGCTTCTCCTCCCCACACCCGCAAGGGGAATCCCTCCGCTGCCCTGTCCCAGACGTACCCCCAGCACCCCGTGCCCACTGTGCCACCCCCAGCCCACCCCACTGCCCGGGCACCAGGAGCACGGGGCACACCGGGAGCCCTGCTGGGATATCCCGGAGCCCCAAAACCAGAGATTCCAACCGCAGCGAGCAGTGGTTTGGCTTTGTCGCACCCAGACCGCAGCTCCCGCAGTGTCCCCGCACCCCCTCGCTGGCTCCGGACGGACAGACGGCTCAGACACCTGGAGCAGCAGTCTGGAGTCCCCGGTGGTGGCACAACCGAACTTCCAGCGCTGCCTGCCGGTGCCCCGTGCCCCCGGAGCTCTCAATGCCCTCCCTGTGCCCACCCCAGCCCCGCACATCCCGCTCCGTGCCTTCGGGATGCTGCTCCACGCTTCCCTACCCGAGCTTGGAGCCGTGCCCAGACACCCGGAGATGTCTGCGAGGCAGGACCAGACGGCGATGGGATGGGGCTCCTCGTTAGTATGGACAGCAACAGGCGGAGGAACGAGCTGCAGCCAGAGCAGCAAGTCCTCGCTTCCTGCATCACCACATCCCTCCTGGCACGGCCCACGGGCACCCACGCTGGCCTGGGCACAGCCTGATGGAGTATCAGTGACATCCTCAGCCACCCCTGTCACAGGCATGGGGTCACCTCTGTCCTTGTGCCACCAGAGCTTGGTGTCCCCAGCAGCATCCTCAGCTGTGCTGTGCCAGGGAGGGCAACACAGGGCAGAGGGACATGCTGGGCACATCTCCGTGCCAGCCTGATCCAGAGGGATCTTTAACGGGGCCTCACTGGAGCTCCCTCAGCCTTCCCCAAACCACCAGGAGATCAGAGACGAGCCACAAGGACAGAGGGAAGCCTATAAATTATACATGGAGCAGCTCGGTTTGGGAACGGCTCTGAGGATGTCAAACAGCCACGCCAGGACCCTCCCACGCATCCCTGGGTTTTCTCCATGCTGTGGTTGTGCTGTCTGCTCCGAGTGTGGGGAATGAGTCCAGCTGTGGGGCAGGAGCAGGATGGTGCCATCTAGGCTCTGATGAATTCTCCCTGAACCTGAGGAACCCGCTCTGCTGGTGGCTCCAAAGGACATCTCAGATGCATCTGGCACCCAGCACTCTTCAAGCACATTTATTGGGCAATGGTGCTCAATCCTGAGGCTGCTGGAGCTCCTCCAAGTTCCTGAGCCCACCATAGCCCCTTCCAGAGTCTACTCCAACAGGACCCCAAGGCTGTGGTCGCTCTTCCCTCCAGGAGAGATCTGTGCAAACCCCTCGAGGCCAAAGCAGGAGCCCTGGTGCTCCACGCTGATGGACATTGGGGTCGTCCTTGGAGTGGTCATTGGACAGCGACCTCAGGACAGCCCAGTGGATGGGCCAGGGAGCCACAGAGCCCTGCAGGGCAATCTGGGGGATGCAGGAGGGCTGGAACCACCCAGGGGATGCATTTGGTGCTTGAGTGATCCCCTCTGAAGGAGGGCAGCATGAAGCAGCCAGGCCGGTCAGCGCGGGGCTGAGGAGAACACGGCTCATCAAACCCATTTGCTGCCGGCCTTGATGAGGTTCCAAGTTTGGTCAGTGGAGGTAAAAGCCTTGGCAGAGCAGGCTGGGATTACTGTGAGGCATTTGACATTTCAACAAAAAAAGCAGGATGATCCCAAAAGCAGAGCAGCACGCTTTAAGTGGGTTAAAACCAGCAAACCAACACCTCTCTGCTCGGAACCGGCCCTGACCACAGAGGGAAACTGAGGAAAGGGGAGAAAATGAAGAGCAAGGAAGGAAAAAGGACAGCTCAGAGGAAGGCAAAGGCTGTGCAGGATGAGGCTCTGAGTGGCAGCTCTGAGCTCCAGTCATGGCAGCTGGAAATGCATGTTGGCAGGTCAGGGAAACAACTTCCTTAAAAAGCCAGGCCAGCTGGCAGAGGAACAGCTTGGAAAGGTTCTGCACAGTGGTGGACCCTCCATCTCAGTGATTTTTTAAGGTCTGAGTGTTTTTCTCCTCTGGTTCCTAGGAGAATTCCAGGCCCATGGATAAGGTGAGACAGTAGGTCGCATGGGTGATGGAGAGGTGACAGCAGGTGATGCCAAGGTGCCATGCCATGAGTTCTGCAGCAGTGGGTTCTGCTGGATGCTTGCAGAGTTAGGAACGATCTCTCCTCCGCTGGGTGACCCCAGGAGCTGAGGAATATCAGGAATCTCTTCTCATGGACACCCCTCAGCCAGCCCCAGCACTGGGTTCCTCTGGCCAGCGCTGATGGGTGGTGAATTTTGTGAATAAGAGACACTAAACCTGCTGGTTTTGCTTCCTGGGACACATCTCTGATGGAGCTCAGAGGTCAGAGCCCTGCTGCACACTGCCCTGTCGGGAATGTCACCTGCCAGCTTCAGCCCTTTCTCCACCTCTCCTCTCCCTCACTCTTGCCAGTAACACCGTGGAAAAGGGAAAACCGGAGCAGACACATAAATCTTCTCCTCAGGACACGGGAAGCTGGGAGATGAGATTTATGAGGGAGGAAGTCAGATTCTCCTGGAACTACAGAGGAGAGACGTGAATGACCCGGCTCTGCTCGCAAGGTAGAGCCTTTGTGGGGCAACAGAGGGGCAGGAAGCAGCTCATGACACATCATCCACAGCAGAGCCCAATCCTGCCTTGGCTCAGAGAGGACTCGAGGCGTTTGTTCTCAGATCAGAGCATGTGTGGGACTTGAGGATGGAGGACTTGGAGCAGCTCCTCGGGCAGCTTGCACACCCGAAATCTGCTTCCTCGCTGAGGAAGCTCCAGCACGAAGCCAGCTCATGCCCTGCCCTCATGCTTCTCTTGGAGGCTCTTCCAGAACCCGCTTGCTGGGAGCCTCCCAGACCTTCTCATTTCCTGTGGGCACTTAATCACAGCCCGTTTTTATCCGACTATACCCGTGCCAACGGAGTGCTTCTGCTCCAGCAGCTCTTCTCCCTCCTCACTGCTCAGCCCTCGTGGTCCCCAGCAAGGAGAAACCCCTTCCCAGTGCTCCACAAGCCCAGCTCAGCTGCTGTCCCCAAGGCCAGCTCCCCATGTCCCCGATGGACCTCGCAGTGCCTGTCCCCCTCCCTCTTAGGAGCGCTCCAGGCTCTGCTCCAGCACCGCTGTGGCTCCCCCTGAGGACACAGGAGCTGTCCCTGCCACCAGGGCCGTGCCTGGGGTGGCTGTGCCACTCAATCCCCCACCGAGCATCACCCAGGGGTTCTGGGAGTGGGTGGGTCACAGGGCGAGCAGAGCTCCAGAGCCGAGGGCTCGGCACTCATCCCTATGTAGGTCACTGGCTGTGCGGGGACATTAGTCACCCTCCCAGCCACAGGGCCCAGCAGAAGGTTCTGGCACCCAGCCTGGCCAGAACCCACCTCCCCACGGCACCAGCACCCACGGGCTCCTCTCTGGGGTCACCGAGGCTCCTGGCTGGCCTGGCCACACGTGCCCATGGAAGGGACGGGGACGGGCAATGAGGAGCGAGATGCGGATGCTGCTGCAGATGGAGCTGCACACAGCCAGCAAGACAGGAGTACAAAGCCTCTGCACGAGCCTTCAGAAGCTGCAGGAGCCAAATGGTTCCTCTGTCTCCCGTGGATGCTAATACGGCTGTCGTGGCGGTGGTGGCTCTGTTCTCTGTGCTACCTGCCGGCGTTCCCACCTCTCTGCCAGGCACAGGAGCTTTGCTCTCACTCTTTAATGAGATGCGAAGAGTAGAGTGACCTGCCTGGGGGAGCACGGGCAGAGCTCATGGAGTGGGAGCAGCTCAGGAGGAGTTTGTTCCATGTCCTGAGGCGTCCCTGCTCTCACCCGTGGAGGAGCAGGCGAGTGTTCCTGGAGCTCGTCTGTGGTTCAGTGCCACCCCCGGGGCTGCAGGAGAGACCACCCTGGGAGGAAGAACATCCTGCTCAGCTCCTTCTTCCCCAGTGAACGGGGTAAGGGCAACACCATCCTCCTCTGAGCCCTGGGGATGCCCTGTGTGGCTCCACGGACCTGGGAAAATGCTTGTGGTGGAGATCCAGCCCAGAGAGCTCAGCCAGTGCCCAGCACCAAAGCCCAGGGCTCTGCTGGCATCTCCAGCACGGGCTGGTCCTGCAGCAGTGACAGCACAAGGGAAGCGGGACACAACCCAGAGATTTTTGGCCACAGGAGACCCAGCTCATCTGCAGACCCCCACGGCTCTCTGAGGAGGGGGTCTCCGCTCTGGAGAAGGGGTTGGGCACCCATCTGGAGCCCACCTGCCCCAGTGTGCAAAGCAGCTGCCTGGGCCAGGGGACTCTGGGTGACAAAGGCTCTGTGGGCTCCCTCACCAGCCAGAAATGGCATCAGAAAGCCACCAACTGTCCCCAGAGCACGCTTCAGGAGAAAGCTGGAAAGGCTTTCCTGCACTGCCACCAGCTGCCCTTGCCCACACCGGTCCGGGCTCGGTCCTGGGTGCAGCAGGGACCCCCTGGGGCAGCCCCCGTCCCACCAGCACCCACCAGGCAGCGGCTCAGCCTCTGCAGCTGCAGCTCGCAGCGCTGAGAACATCCTTCCAGAATACAAATCCCTGCCTTTAAGTGCATTCTCAATGCCATCGAGCAGCCTGCCCCCTCTTTATCTCCGTGTGCTTCAGACAACGCTGGCTACCAGGGGAATTTGGGAATTAGCCTCGTGCCTCAGTTTCCCCACCACCACCCAGCCCAGAGCACACGGAGCACCTCCACAAACACGCGTGGCAGGCTGTGCCCGCGGCGCTGGTAGGACTGGAGTAGTGTTGGTACAGGGACAGGAATAGACCCACTCATTATCTGTGGCCTCTGGATGCCACCGTGCTATTAAGTAATTACAATAATTATCA